GGGCTGAAGACTATCATATTAGCAGTCAAGGCAATTTTATTAAAGGAACTCTGCCTAAAACATAAAATTTTAATTTTTCACATAGATAAACATGATCATTTAAAATAGAAATATAAATAAAATATAACCAAGAAATATACAAGAAATACATTGAAAAGCATGTGTTTGAGTTATTTTCAGTCCAAATTGGGTGACAAGCGTTTAAATGCTTTTCAACTTTGGGTCATTTTTTACTATTATAATTATAATTATTCTGGAAAAACGGAGCGAGCTAATGATCTGTAATTTTGCACATAAGTTATTAGTATAGATCTACATCAAATGGAGTAAAAATCACACAAAAAATATTTCCAGTCCCGTCATGTCAAAAAAACCTCAGTTGATTCCCTTTAATTAACTACAGATAATCCTAAAAAAGTTAAGTACTTAGTGAACAAAAAATAACTTATGTGAAATTCCGTTGTTGTGAGATATTGCAAATGAGATTCTTGTTTTAAAAAAATTCCACGGAAACCTACCTTGCAGCAACATTTGCACTCCTCTCAGCACTGTGCACACCTTTAAGCACCAGGTGCACTCCTTAAGGCACCTGTGCACTCCTTTTATTACAAAGTGAATTATGTAGCATTTGTACTCCTTTCAGCACCATAAAGACTCCTTTAAGTAGGATATGCACTCCTTTCAGCACCATGTGCACTCCTTTCATTACAATTTGCACTTATTTCAGCACCATGTGTTCTCCTTTAAGTAGCATGTGCACTCCTTTCAGCACCATAGGCATTCCTTTCAGCACCATGTGTAGTCCTTTCAGCAACATTTGCACTCCTTTTAGCACCATTTGCACTCCTTTTAGCACCATGTGCAATCCTTTCAGCAACATGTGCACTCCTTTCAGCACAATGTGCACTCCTTTTAGCACCATGTGCAATCCTTTCAGCACAATATGCACTCCTTTCAGCACAATGTGCACTCCTTTAAGTAGCCTGTGCATTTCTTTCAGCACCACGTGCACATCTTTTAGGACCAGCAGCAATCCTTTATGTACCATGTGCACTCCTTACATCACCATGTGTACTCGTAAATGTAGCATGTGCACTCCTTTCAGCACCATGTGCTCTACTTCTGCACCATGTGTACTCCTTTCAACATCATGTTTACACCTTTCAGCAACATGTGCACTCCTTTCAATACCATGTGCAATCCTTTCAGAACCATATGCAATCCTTTCAGCACCATGTGTACTCCTTTCAGCACAGTGTTTACTCTTTTCTGCACCATGCGTACTCCTTTAAGTAGCATATGTACTCCTTTCTGCACCATGTGTACTTCTTTAAACACTGTGCACTCCTTTTAGCATCATGTGCAATCTTTTGAACTCCATGTGCACTCCTTTTAACAACATATGCTGTCCTGAGCACCATGCGCACTCTTTTCAGGACCATGTACAATCCTTCAAGAATATGAGATGGATTTGGAAACTGGAAATAAAAATATGGTAGATGACAATTAGACGAAGCGCAGTAAGCAAGAGATGTAACAGTAGTACTATCATTTTTAATAATCTCCCTTTGTTTGTATTTTGTTTTTGTCCAATACAAAACTGTAATCACTTTAAACTTTAATCTTCATTACCAAAATTATTGTTTGAAAACCATTATGCTTCCGTTTCCCAGCAAGCAAAAAACACATTCGGCGCGGGGTTGTCATGTGATATGTTACAAAGTTGAAATGATATAAAATAGCTATAAAATAGCGAACCATATCTTTTATAAGCGTCTCGCAGTCGTTTGCATATTCAATTTGTGTTGTAAAGGTGAAAATACTGATAAAAAATTAAATGATATACATTAGTAAAACAAACATGATAAAAGCTAAATGAAAGCGAAATATAGTCATTTTTCTTGAGGTATATGATACAAAATTTTCAAAATTGTCCTACCCCCTTCCACACCCACTACCAATTCCGCGGAAACTTGTCGCTGTGCCTGGCAAAATTTCAGGGGAAAGGCCTGCCAATGTTTGTTGATGTAGCGCGACAGATGACAATTTACCGTGTAATATATCGTGGGATAATGTACTCTCTTGTAACAAAATTTAGACCGTCAGAAATGCAAGGTTCCATACCGTTACGGATAAAATACTAACCACTGGCATGATTATTAATGTATGCCCTAAAGTTGTGTCGTTCATGTAGAAAATGTACCTTACTTAAGGTACACAGAGGGCAAACTTGATCTTATCAGTTCAATATATCGATAACTAAGCCATTGCCATTATAATATAAGTTTTTATACACAATGTGACCCACGGGCTAGGAACCAATTTTGACCTACAGGGCCATGATTTATAATAGAGGACCATGCGATGATGTTTCATGCAGAATATCTAAGCTCTGGGAAAAGTCCTATCAGAGAAGATGGTTTTAAGACATTGTTGATATACAAGTATATGTACACTAAGTGACCCCTAGGGTATTTCCATCTTTTACCTCAGTGACATGACAAATATACATGTATAACTTTTGTAGAAGTCTACTTGGCAATTCTGTATGCCAGATTTATCTAAGCTCTATGCAATGCTTTTTTGTTCCAAAATATTTAGTTTTACAGACATTTGACAGGTTATATGACCCTATAATAGTGATATTTCTTCATAAAATGACCTTTGTTTGTAGAGGACCACAATGCTACATTCAAAAAAATTTAAGCTCTAGGCATTGTATTTTCTGAGAAGCTGCTGGGACCTAAAAATACATCAGACATGATGCTGTTTTTTGTTGATATTAATGGGTCGACGGACACACGGCAATCACAAAAGCTCACTTCTTGGTACTTTGTGCTCAGGTGAACTAAACAAATGACATACAACACCAAACAAAATCGGAAAATTTATTCATTGTATTTTCTAGATTCTGAAACTAATGTACTTGATTTGGGGCAAGTGCGGTGCATTATAATAGCTGCAGATTTAAAGAATATCTATAACGTGGAGATAAACAATGAATAATTTGTATTTCAAGCTAAATGCCATAAAAATAACTTTGAAAACGAGTAATAAGTTGTATGTGCTCAAAATTTTGTTTAAAGTTATAATACCGTTGAACGATGATATTTTACCCTACAACTTAGTTTTCAGAAATAATCACCTAAATCATAAGTATATCCTCATTAATGATGAACTGCTAATCTTTTTAATCTTATTTCGCCGAAACACTCTGATGCAACTGGATATAATATCGCCAGTTTTTGAAATCCCCGCCATTTGCAAAAGCTCTCGGGCCCGATCTGTTTCATTTGGAATTAACTCATTTGAATACGGAAAAGTTCAGAAATGCTATAATAAGAAACAAGTTCGGAAATGCTATAATTAGAAACGTCAACAAACTTGCGACCTCGATTTTAGGAGATATAATATAATTGACGGATGCAATTTTATTTTATGTTTTGTAATTAATAAACGATATAAAAAGCTACTTATTAGCTTAGGAATGTAGCTTATATCCTCGTAACGCGTTACGAAGAACAAAGTCTGAGACTCTCACTACATCTACAGTAAACAAGAAGATGGAGCGTTGGTCATGTCTATGTCGTACGGTTGCTGTGGTTATTTGAAATCCGTAAATAACAGAGGGATTCTATGACCGGTTCGTACCAGAAATAAAACGTACCTATTGTCAAGCTTCCATCGTAGAAATATGGCATAGTATACAGTGGTGTGCGTCATGTAAATATTATAACACAGACACTTGGGGTTTTGTGCTCAATTTGTATTATTATAGATGTTGAAATATGATTTGTTTTCAAAACGGCTGATATTAAGTTTTTTTTATATATATATATGATCAGTACATCTGCTGGGATTGACAAATATGCATTTTATTTGGATTTTAAAGGCGTTTTGAGCTCCAAACCCCAAGTGTCTGTGTTAGGAAATTATAATGAAAAGAAAGATAATTTGGCAATCTGGTGTAATAACCTGTATAGGGTGTCACCAGATTAAATAACCAGACAACTGCATGCAAAAGCCAATACATATTTAACATCTACAGACTCAACCGATTGATATATGATAATGTATAATTATACTTCAATTTAATAAGCAAACAAGAATGGAAAAAGGACCAAGTTAAAGTTCTGATGCCTATAATTTTGAAAATGATCACTCAAGACCTGATTTTTATGTTAGCCTTTTGTAAAAGTGCACATTATGGAGAATAATGTACTAATGAGAATTTCATTCCAATACAAACACAGTGCAACCTGTGTAAATATTATTCTGTTAACAATGAACAGTTGCATTCCACTGAAAATAAGATTGCCAAGAATTAAATCCCAATCTCTGGTAAGAGTCATGTACACCGGTATGGCATAAAACCATAAATTTCACCACTTTATGTTCAAATGTTGAATTCTGCTAAAGCTGGTGCTAGGGGGGCATGGAAGGTAACTTGCACTTTCCAACAGGCTCACCAAATAGAGCCTGCAACAGTTTCAATTTTGTCATTTTGGGCTTTCTTCAGGAATTCTTTATTTTTCTATTTTCTGATGTCAAATGTACCTTTTTAAATTCAAATAAGATCAAAGATGTAACAATGTTTTACAAATACCTTTCAATGTTAATTTACACTCCACTTCTCTTAGCACGTTTCGGGACACATTTTGGAATGTTGTTAAAATAACAAAAACACAGGTAAATTGAAACATGTATTTGAAAATTGGCAGTAAAACAACAATAAAATTTTTTCAAATGAACAGCATATCTCCTTTTTCTTACTCTTTAAATTGTACACCAGTGACTTCTTTACAGTTATAGTTTTATTTTTTATTCAATCCATGCTGTCTTAACAGGAAGAGAAAGTGTGAAGATGGCCAATATTGTAGAAGGAAATAAATAATATCTTAATTCCAACCAAATTGTATGAACTTGAGCTAACCCCTTATGGGTTTCTGGTGATGAAGGATATTATGCTTATTATTATAACTATGTCATTGGTATAATAAACTAGATTGGACTACAAACAATTCATGGACTAATAACAACTAGATCTCCGCACGTCGGATGTGTTGCCTTGTGAACAATATAGTTTAGGAGAAATGGCCAAGACAAAAATGAAATATGACAAATTAACAAAGGGCAATAAAGTTAAAGCCACTTATAGCAAATAACAAGCAAAGCCAAAAATTAGACATTAACCTTGAAGGTCAAGGTCAATTATGAATGAAGGCCAAGGTTAGTCATGTCTTCTTAAATATCTTGTTGCAAGGGTTGTGGTGACCAATGTGTAGACAATACACCAAGAACTTTAAAAGTTATGAACAAGGTTCAAGTTTGCAGAAGGCAACAGCAGCAACCTTTATTTCTTTTTTCAAAAATAAAAAAAAGAAAAGCTGAGCTAAAGTGAATGACATAGTACATGCATATCAAAAGATATAATTGAATAATACTTTTAACTTTTTTACTACATTAAAGCTCATAGCAGCACTTATTATTAGTTTAATAGATTGGATAATATTTTGCACTTGTATAAAAAGTAGTCATTTTTTTCTGACAAAATATTAAAAACAGACCTTCAGTCATGACAAATGAATCAAGAGAATTTTTTTCGAAACAAGATAGATACAGTGCCATATCTAAAAAGATATTTCATAAAACTATCATGAGTACCAGGTATTCAATCTCAGCTTAGATATGTTTGAATAGTTGGGCAATCAGTGTAACACACTATCATTCTTTTCCATAAAAAGTCAATCATATTTTGATTTATGTTCATCATGAATGGCTTGGGTAGGCTTTGGGCTAACTGGGGCCAAATGTTTTGAAAGTCTGCGGGGGTCATCTTCCTCTAACTTTCTTCTTTTATATACCCCCTCTTTGTCACTCATTCTCATGGATATAGCTTCCTGTAAAATGGTATCCATATAATGATATTTTTCTCTTCTTCTTAATTCCATCCAACCGCTGAAGTCTGAAATGAGAAATTAACAAGCCTTTTATAACAAAAATCATAAGTGTATACAATTCTCAAAATCATTAATTGTTAATTATTCGTCTTCAAAATTTTAAGTCAAGTTTTTCAGAGACTGCAAAATCTCTTTTGATTGAAATTAATATTCTTATATAATATAGGCAATATATGCATATGGATACATTTTCAATAAAAAATATCTTTATAATTCATAGGAGGCCGGAACATTTAATTAACTAAATATGCAGCATTTATATTCAATGCAAAAATAAAAAAAAAATGTTGAGAATCTATATGCCCAAAGAGGATAAAGCACAACATTTTATTTAGGTTTTGCCTCTTTTAATTTGAAAACTGAAATCTTTTCTAAATTGAAATAAAAAAAAGAACATGCTGTTACATCCATATTAGACTCAGTACAGAGAACATCTATGTTGAACATTATTATAGTTCCAAACAATTCACTTTATTAACACAAACTGGACACTGTTTTCTTTCATTTTATAAAATTGTGTTTTGCAAGTAGCATACCTAACAGATTCCCCTTGCTGGTGATGTGTGGTCTATTTGCATGTATATTATAATCTATGGCTGCAACCTATAAACAGGTGGAGTGTAAGCAAATCCTTTGGTACAATACACCAAGATGTGCTGGTGAAACACCTCCATGTCAGCTGTACTTCTAAAAATGAATACAAGTAATGGAAAAGATATTTTCATTAAAATGATTTTAGTAAGGAAAAATCCTTTAACATTAACATATTCATATGCTAGATATAATCTCTGTATTTAAATAATTATCTTTGAAAAGATTTTACACAGCTCTATCCTTCAATTGATAAGCGCAATAAAGGTGCCAATTTTTAATACATAATGGTTGTAGGTCCATTTGCGTTAACATATAAAGATGCTGTAAACATTGAACATTCTATAATCAATAGACATATGAGCTTTGAATTAATCAGGACATATACTCCTTTCCAGTTAGGAACATAAAGCCTTTTAAACATTTCACTCCAAAACTGCTAGCATATCTTAACAAAGATAAACATATCTCCCTTGCAGAATTAATGGCTCCAACATTGGAGCCATTGGCTTCAACTTTTTTGATTGGCCAATCTGGTGGTGCAAACTAAAATTGATCCTGGGGTAACCCTGTCAATATTAATTTCTTTTATTGTACCTGATGTGAACATACCCGCAGTTGAGATATTATGTCATCTTATTCAGAACACAAGCCAGATCTTTCAGACTATGTGCATCTCCGTTTCCTTGGCAGCCATGGTTTGTTCTTGTTTCTAATGGGCCATGATTGTACTAGGCATTGGGTGTATTCCATCATCTGAAAACAGAATCCATTCATGCTCAATAACTATATGAATGATGCAGACACTAATAGATATTATTCCCTGAAATAAAATATCAAGACAAATAAGCATGCATTAAAACATGGCAAAGAAGTCAGCCTTCAACAAGTTTTATGAAACATTACTAAGCATTTCACATTTATTTTACATATGAAATGCTTACCATAACCTATGAAGTATTCCACATTATGCATCAAAACATCTTGCATGGATTAATTTTCTTGCAACAAATGACAATTATGTTTATTGCTATCTAGAATTTTATCTAAATATGTCTTGAGCAACAGAATAATCATATAAAAAATATCAAACATTTCAAACAAAATCAAATATATAATAATTGTTTACTTACCATGAATAGTTTTAGTTTGTAGCAGTTTTATAACTAAAACCAGAAATGAATTGTTTGTGGTCTCAATTACACTCCAAAAGGATTTTATATGGCTTTTCTTTAGTTGCTACCTGAAGATTAAACCATAACTTGCTTAAGATTTAGAAAAAAATCAATTGTGGAATTCCTTTTCATTTTAGCGAAAAATATTCTACATAAGAATTGTATATATTCAGTCTTCACCAAGTTTTACTATAGGACATGCATCTGCCCTTGTTATTAACAACAAAAACAGCAGTATTGCATGCAGTTTTGATAACACAGTCTGTTAAAAAAATTCTTAGTTTAAAAGGGCTTTTTAAGGGATAATATAACTTAAAAAATATTGCTTTCACAGTCATTGAAATTTAATTATTTGAATTCACTGGCCCCAATTCCAGTTTTAAATTTATTCTACTATATATTTAACTACATTTTCTTAAAATTTACACTGGCCCAAACTAATTTTCACTGGACATGGGACCACTGGGCATGTGCTTAAATTTCAATGACTGCTTTCATAAGAACATGTATCGCTTCCCCTGTTTAACAATTACGTCTTTGTCCTGATAAGCAAGTCTTTCAAGCTTTCATGTTTGATGCATTTTAAAATATTTAAATAATTGCAATTGTATACCGACATAGCAATCTGACATAGAATGTAATAGCTTTGAAAAAAAGCTAGAAATTAGTAATTCATGATGTTTGATTGCAACTAAGAAAGATATACTTCCACTTTTGAGTAAAACTGTAATACTATTTTGTTGTATGTCTCTGAGAATCTGACTACATAACATAATCCTTTCCAAAAACAAGCAAAGTTTCATGTTGATGCATTTTAAAATATTTAAATAATGCAGTTGATATACCGACCATAGCATCTGACATAGAATGTAATAGCTTTTGAAAAAAAAAGCTAGAAATTAGTAATTCATGATGTTTGTATTGCAACTAAGAAAGTATACTCCACTTTTGAGGAAACTAGTAACTATTTTGTTGTATGGTCTGAGAATTGACTACATAACATAATCCTTTCCAAAAAACCATATATATATTTTTTCACAAGTGGATTTAAGACCTATAATGACCCGTCTATTTTTTTTTCACCTCAGTAAAAAATTACCTATATAAAATTTTTTTACAAAAAAACCATTTTTTAAAAAACCCAAAATCTTTCAATTGGACCAAAAATTTTAAAAATTAATGCATGTTTTTTTTTTTTCTCTAATACATATTTTATCCACTAAAAATTCTTATTGTTTTAATATTTTAAACAATAAATTTTTGATCATGATAATAAAGGGGTCACATGTTTGATATGTAATTTCCATTAATTGCAATAACTATTAAAAAAACAAGAATTCGGCAGTATTTAAGCCTAATCAGTTTTTATATGAATTATATAAGTTATGCAAATTGTTACAAAGTATATAGCTATAGCAATTTTGAAAGGTATTGGGTAGATTATAACTTTGTCACTTTCGACAAAAATGGGTTTACTTACTCTCCTCTGCATATGCACTGAAGTCGAGGGTCATTCTCTTGATGTCCCTGGTATTGCAACACATGATGATGATGAAATTGATTTATTTCTGTAATTGAAAATATAGCATACTAGTACCATGGCCTAAAATCTTGACTTTTCAAACCAATTACAATACATGAATTGCTGCACTGCTTATTAGGAAGAAGGATTGTCATTAAGAATTATCTAAAATTATCTAACGTTTTCAGCACAATTATGGTTATTGTCCATTATTATTTTTCAAATCGTTAAATGCTGAAATTTTACTGCGAAAATGATTCAAATGAGACAAAATAATGATTTTTTTGATTTTCCAAGACACAATTTTATTTTTACTACTTTTTTTTCTTTTTAAAATTCGAACCCCCGGGTAGTAGATAAATATTTCAGACTTGCGGGCTTGTTATTTCTTTAAAAAAATGTCGGTCAAGGTGCCCAAAAGCAAAAAAATCTCAAAAAACAAAGGGCCATATTTCTAGGACTGTAACAATCCCTTGATAGTTGGTTTTAAAAGCTTTTAAGAAATGGTGTTCTGCAGTCAATATTCTAACCCCTTTTTTAACACATGTGGGTAACATTTCACCCGATTTAGTTACTATACAGTACTTCTTAAGTAAAAAATTGATGTATTGGAAAAAAAAATTTTTCAAAAATTAATTTTTTTGCCTTTAAAAACTTTAAAAAATTGATTTGCCATTTAAACCAGATTAAATGGTTACAACCGCCATAAAATTGTAAAGGATTTTGCTCGCCCATTTTATTTAACCGTTAACAATTTTTTGGTACGAAAATTACAGGAAAGAAACTTGATACAAAGTGGATCTGCAAGCTTAATTTTTTTAATTTAATCAAAAACCTTTTAGAAAATGAACACAATATCGTGTTAATATTCGTAGTTTAAAATTTCTTTTAAGTAGACTTTAAAACCCTGAAAAAATTTAAATGCAAACAAAACGTGATCCCCTTTCCTGAACCCGTCAATAGATAAAATTTAGGTCGCTTTTGGCCTTAATTACCCTTTTTAGAACTTTTTTCATCGCTTTGAAAAACCCCCACCGGAAAATATATCCCTTTTATTGAAAAAAACAAGTAACTTTTTCTTTTTTCGGGTTTTTCCTTTTTCCAAGCTCAAAAATTTTTTTCTCGTTACGGGGAAACCCCTCATTTTTGTTTGTCCGCCTTATTTGGTTTTAGAAATATTCCCTATCACTGACTCCCACCGACCATTTTCGGGGAAAAAACGAAGGCTTCCCCCCAAAAAATAATCTTATTTGATAACCCAGTAAAAAAAAAAGCATTTTTAGAATGGTCAAAAGTTACGGGAGCGTTTTTAATTTGGAAAACTTGTCAAAACAGTTAAAAATGGGATTTGATAAAAAGGCGTTTAATTTGACAATCTTTTTTGTGAATTTGACCAGGAATTAATTTAACTATAAAAAAAGGGAAAAAAGGGAAAATTTTTAATCAACCCTTAGATAATATAAGAAAAAATTTTTTGTTTTAAAACTTTTCTTTAAAAAAAAATCGGCTGAAAGAATTTTTTTAAATTTTTTTTAATTTTAATAAAATTTTTCGAAAATTTTTAAAAAAATTTCACTGAAGAAAAACATAAAAATTTTTTTTCAAATTTGGGTTTTCCCGGGCCCGGCAAATTACAAAAAACCTGAATAAATGCCTTTTCATCAAAAAATTAGAAAAGAAAAAAAGGGAAAATAAGGGCAGAGGAAAGGGTTCTTTAAAAACATTTAATCAAAAGGTTTTATTTTAAATTTAGATGTTTGGAACAAAAACAATTTTCCTAAGTTAAAATTGAGTTTATATTCAACTAATTGAAAAATTTTCCTTTCTGTACCTCATAAAGTATAAAAGTATAGCGCAGGGCATTTTTACAGTTTTTAATATTTGTTTTTTAAAATCAACTAAAGCATGCATAGCAACTCCCCTTCACTTTTTTCTTTTTTAAAAGTTTTTTAAAATTTTTCAACAATCAATTTAATTTACTTAAAACCATACACCCTTTTTTAAATTTTTACATACTTTTTTATCGAAGCCGACTCTTTTCACGGTTTTACGGGCGGGTAAAAAGCAAACGGAAGTTAAGGGAAATTTCGGTATTTGTATCCGTTTAAAAAATGTTAAAAAATGAAAAACAGAACGCCCTCTCCATAAATGTATTTTTGAACATAACCAGTAAGTACTTATATTTGTTGGATTCTTGACAGGTGTTTATTTTTACATGTTTTGTATTTTTTGGCCAGTGTTGTATTTTTGCATTGGTTGTATTTTTGACCAGTTTATTTTTGACATAAAAAACACCGCGTCCCTTCAAGCTGGTTTTTTAAAAACAGCATTAGTCTTATTTGTTTAAGGAAACGTTGTTTTTGATTGGGTTCGGCTATTTAAATATATTCCCTTAAAGG